AAATTCACATTATCTTAGGTTAGCAACTCCATCATACACTATTCACGCCACACAATAATTAACCAAATACTACCACGTTATTCTTATCTTCATATCTGTGTGTCTAATAAAAAAATTGTTTCCATATCTTATGTTACTTACATTTCACCCAAAATAGAACATAGCACATTAGTTTTTCATTTTTCTTATTCGAATAAATTTTCTCCAATCAAGTCTACAATATCGTCCACCTTTTTAACACTACGTGCTCGAACCCATTTTCGTTTCTTACTCATTTCCATCTGGGACGCCGATGGACGTTCTGCTGTTGAATGCATAATTGATATATCTGACACGTCTTCCCACATGCCGCTTGCAGCCGAAACGAACGACGCTGATGATGACGCTGATGATGATCGTGATCGTATTGGTGATGCCATGTTGTTTATAAACGTTGTGATGAAGGATGATACTCAAAAATGACATGCACAACTCCTTTTATAGGCGAAAACAAGCATCAATGTATGCACAGTGAACGTACAAAGCAATTATTTCACACATAATTCACATGTCTTGTTCAGTTAGAATCTCTTACAACGTACAGTCCATTCCAATTAACATCTCATGTTAATGCCTCCAATTAACGTCTACCGAATGGATGTATCGCATTACAATTCCCCAATCAAAGATACATGGCACATCGCTCATGACACATGTCAATACCAAACAGTTACCCCATACTGACCATATGGCGATCACTGATGCCTATAAATATCGAACTTCGATTCCATTACCATACACAACATCAATGATCACAATTCAACAAGAAAAACATCCCAATTCTACATACCCAACATACACTTACAAATCCAAGGTACTAACTTCATCACTCTTCACAATCACACTCTCTTTTCCTTACAGATCTTACTCATCATCACCCAATACCATAAAACCATGGAAACAAATTCACCAACTTGTCTGAACAAGCTCTCACGAATCAATCTACCGTCTTCCTTCCACACGACCACGACCCACAAACATCTCATCCAACCAACACAGCACCAAACCGCGAATCGTACCCATCTCACCAATCATCAAAATCAAGCACAAATCCACGATGTACAATGGATCACAGAAACACCGACTAATCGAAGTAAATCTCTGACAGATCCTGAGAACTTACAGAGCACAAGCTAGCAAAGAATGCTAATATTTTAGGGTCCTGGGGAGTAGTAGAGTACCAGTTAGGAAAGCATGGTAACCTGTGAAGGATCCTAGGGAGTAGCAGAGTGCTAGGTAGCAAGGAATGCTAGTGTTGGGGGATCTTGGGAGTAGTAGAGTACTAGTTAAGAAAGAATGGTAACCTGTGAAGGATCCTAGGTAATAGCAGAGTGCTAGGTAGCGAGGAATGCTAGTGTTGGGGGATCTTGGGAGTAGTAGAGTACTAGTTAAGAAAGAATGGTAAGATGTGAAGGGTCCTGGGGAGTAGCAGAGTGCCAGGGGGC